CTGGCAGGGCAGAGGGCTCTGCTGTGGCTTGCGACTCTGAAATGAGCCTTGCCATGACAAAGCCTATCATCAAGCCCAAAATACGGAGAAGAGATTACCTAAGCGGTTACCGACTTGGGCGGAGATGGTTCGGGGTCACAAATCTAGACGTACCATAGGGGCCTACGTAATTACCAGTACTTTTTTTACCCCTAAACCCCTGAAACCCCGAGGCCCCTACCCTAAGGCCCCAAAGTAGTTCCTTTTGGGGGTTCGTATATAGAATCCTAAAGGTACTCCCAAAAAGGAACTACTTTGGGGCCTATGGGTAAACTGCAGTCTTACCTTAACTCAGGCACTTTCGGCTGGGATCTGCTGCATGAGCAACCGGCCCCCCGGCTGCTACCAGGGACCTCTTTTTCGTTTTGAGGGTTTAAGGTTGGGGGTTTGGGGCTGGGGGGGGCATAATGTCGGGGTTTAGGGTTTGCGGATACGGCGCTGAGGCTGCCATGCGCACAGCCAGGCAGAGCGGCATTTCGAAATCTTCGCACTTTCGGGGGATCGAATTAGCGGAACCTTAATGCGGGTTTGAGCCTGAAGACCTACATTTCAAGCCTCGAGCCCGAGCCGAAGCCTTCAAACGCGCCAAGGCCGGAGGTTGTGCAGATGGCAGAAACGATGGGGCATCAACGCGGCCGCGTCGCTTGACTGCCGAACCGAGTTCAGGGTTTATAAGGTTTAGGGTGCGGGGTTTAGGGCTTGCATTATTCAATTAGGAACATACCGTTTTTCCGCACAGTTGAGGGTACAGACAGTAAGTATAATGCAGGAGCCGTAGGTTGGGTTGCGTTTCAGGGCTTTTGAGCTTGTTGGTTGCCCCTTTGGAGTTTAGGGTTTAGTGTTTCAGGGTTTGCGGGCGGGCTTTGTGGATAGAGGGTTGAGGGTTTGGGTTTCAGGCTTCAGGTGCTAGGCCATCAGCTCTCCGATTGGTTTGTTGTATATTTTGGTAGTGCATGCATGCCTGCATTCACGTAGAATATATGTGTAATATGCATTTATATGTATTATATATATATATATATTTATATATTTATGTATTTATATATTTATATATTTATATTTATATACATGCGCGTGTGTGTGTGTGTGTGTGTGTGTGTGTGTGGGTGTGTGTGTGCGTGTGCGTGTGCGTGTGCGTGTGCGTGTGCGTGTGCGTGTGCGTGTGCGTGTGCGTGTGCGTGTGCGTGTGCGTGTGTGTGTGTGTGTGTGTGCGTGTGCGTGTGCGTGTGCGTGTATGTATATAATAGTATACAAATACACCGCACCCTGCTGGGGTCAGGCGTTAGGAAATCTGCTTGTTTGGCTTGTGGGGGTTTGAGGGATTAATGCAGCTGAAAAACTGTACGGGTGTTGCCAAGAATGGGGCACCATAATCTAGTACCCTGTAAGTAGTAGGATCCTTATTGAAAAGGACCCCCAAATAAGGCACCCCTTCTGTTCGGAAACTCCCATATAGGAGCCTTAAACCGAAACGGAAGAGTGTCGGGCTTTGCACGATGAGGCACCCTGCAATCCCACTGGGCCCATCCAGGCCGGTTTCCGGATGTACGCTCTCAGAAGAACTGCGTCTGGCTACTATTTTGGGGTTCCTTATTATAACTAGTATATTGGGCCTATTCTAATTATTAAGGCCCCTATATTATGCATGAACTGTAGGATTTCGAAGGCGGAGGATTTAAGTGGTGTCCCGGCAAACTGTTGGGAGTACAAGTCCACCAAAACCTTGTACTACAGAACCTATATACAGCTGCCGAAACCCATACACCACGCCACGTTAACCCTAAAGCCTATACACGCTTTATTGAGAGCACCATCGCCATCAAAGGAACCCCTAACATACGCCTTTAGGCTTTATTGGCCTCTGAGCTGTCAAATCTCTCGAACACAATTCAGCGTTAAGGCTTACGGCATGGGTTTGCGCAAAATTGTCAGAAGTACTTGCAGGTTGCCAAATCTGCACACTACACCAAAGCCTATACGCTAAAGCTTTCAGCCTAAGCCCGTAAAGCTTTTGATGGACTTGGGTTCGTGCGATGCTCAATCCATTCTTACGTGGGACACTAGTGAAGGCAAGCATCATGGAAGGGTCGGAGTCCCCAGCAAAAGTTTCAATAGATTGAATCCTTTTTTCAATTCCCGAATCTTGATCGTACAAAGGTGAGGGATCGGGTATTGCCGGGTCGCAACATGTCGGTTCATGTGGAAGTTGGGTTGATCAGTGGCAGGAAAGCCACTGTGCAAGCAGCCTTGGGTGAGACGGTGGGAACCTTGAAACGACGGGCAGAGGTTGCACTTGGGGTCGGGACAGGGCGGCTGCTGGACTCATCTGGATGCGTCATGAAAGAAACTGTGCCGATAGAAAAAGCCAGGGTGCAGAATGGTGACTCCCTCACCTTTATGCGCACCAACACGATTCGAATTCAAGCCACTGTTGGCGCGTTTGCTGCCATTCTTGGCGATGGATCTGTCGTGACTTGGGGACATGCTGACACTGGGGGCAACAGCAGTGCTGTGCACGCTCAGCTGAAGGATGTGCAGCAGATCCAGGCCTCTGAGGGCGCTTTTGCTGCCATTGTTGGCGATGGATCCGTCGTCACATGGGGTGACGCTCTTTGCGGCGGTGACAGTCGTGCTGTGCAGGATCAGCTGAAGAATGTGCAGCAGATCCAAGCCTCTGCATGGGCTTTTGCTGCCATTCGCGCCGATGGATCCGTTGTGACCTGGGGTGATGCTGAGCACGGCGGCGACAGTAGTGCGGTGCAGGCTCAGCTGAAGGATGTGCAGCAGATCCAAGCCTCTGCAAGTGCTTTTGCTGCAATTCTTACTGATGCATGCGTCGTCACCTGGGGCAATGCTGAGTATGGTGCCGACAGCAGCACTGTGCAGAGTCAGCTGAAGAATGTGCAGCAGATCCAAGCCGCTGCAAGTGCTTTTGCTGCCATTCTGGAAGACGGATCCGTCATGACCTGGGGAAATGCCGAGTATGGTGCCGACAGCAGCACTGTGCAGAGTCAGCTGGAGAATGTGCAGCAGATCCAAGCCTGTGCTGCTGGTGCTTTTGCTGCCATTCTTAACGATGCATCCGTCGTCACCTGGGGCAATGCTGAGTATTGTGCCGACAGCAGCACTGTGCAGAGTCAGCTGAAGAATGTGCAGCAGATCCAAGCCTCTGCAGGTGCTTTTGCTGCCATTCTGGAAGACGGATCCGTGGTGACCTGGGGTAATGCTGAGGATGGTGCCGACAGCAGCACCGTGCAGAGTCAGCTGAAGAATGTGCAGCAGATCCAAGCCTCTGCAAGTGCTTTTGCTGCCATTCTGGAAGACGGATCCGTCGTGACCTGGGGTGATGCTGAGGATGGTGCCGACAGCAGCACCGTGCAGAGTCAGCTGAAGAATGTGCAGCAGATCCAAGCCGCTGCAGGTGCTTTTGCTGCCATTCTGGAAGACGGATCCGTCGTGACCTGGGGTGATGCTGAGTACGGTGGCGACAGTACTTCTGTACAGGACCAGCTCAGGCATAGATAGCAACTTCTCTTTCAGTGCTCACAGCAGCGCGACGGATATAGACAAGCACATGACAGACCCGGCCTCGGCTTCCATGTTTTTTTTGTGTTGATTTTGCAGGATTCGGTATGCATTAGGATGGTTTAGGCTTTAGGATTTCCGGTGTTGTGGGTTTCGGTTTCTGGATGTTTTGCATTCCGGTCGAAGGATTCCTGAGTTCCGTGTTTGGGTAGTGATGTCGCTTGAGCATGCCCCGGCTGGACCGTTGAAGACCACTGGATTCAGTTAGGTTGGCAGCATAGCTGCTAGTGAGCTCTGACCTGTTTTCCTAGCCTTGCCGGAAGAGCTGCTAGAAAGGAATTGGGAGCAGAGCTCTAACAATGATACTAGCTCGTAGAGCCTGACCTATAATCTGCAACAGATTCCTCTACGTTAAGCAGCAGACCTCGAGACCTCAAATCATAAATCCTATTCAGGAGCTTTAACATGATTGGAACTTTGCAAAACGCCTCAGCCGTAATCTTCACCTTCAGGCCCTTTGTCCCAAGCATGCATTGGTTGCTCGATAGTCCCTAACTACTTACGGAATCAGGAGACTGGGAGCGAAATGGCCATGGCTGTTTCATTTAACACAACCGACCCACTGCAGGTGCTTCATCCACATACACACACACACACATACACATACACATGGGTAGCTGACAAAATTAAGGCTCCTTTTCCGGGTACCCCTAAATAATAGGTGCCGTATTCTAACAGGGACCCAAAAAGGGACCCTAATTTTGACAACCACCTACACACACACACACACACACACATATATATATATATATATATGTACACACATATACATACATACATACATACATACATACATACATACATAGTTGCATCTACCCATGTCTCTTCAAGTACGGTGAGGGCGTTGGGTTTGAGGTATAGGATTTGACGATTCCGAGCTTTGGTACTCCCAAAAAGGAACTACTTTGGGGCGTATGGGTAGGCTCCTTGAGTACTTGTCACCCAACTTGTGTCCTGGCAGCCTCTTTCCTCGGGCATTTATGTTGAGAAGCGCCTAGAGATAGCGGACCTACAGTTTCGGCTACAGCTACACTTGTTCAGTCATACTGTTGATGATATAAACCCTGCATTGCCCATAATCAGGAATATACCATAATTCCCATAGTTTAGGGTCCTTAAGCTAATGCAGGATTTATATCATCAACCGTATTTGCTGTGCGATTGAGGAAACCCGGCGATAAATCCCAGGCCATGACAAGTGAACAATGTGTAATTCAGGAGCCTGAATAGCTAATGATACGACTTCTTATAGGTCTCCCTAATGTTGTAAAGATCTCTAGAAGCCGCAGAACCCTCAGTCTAGTCATAAACCCCAACCCCACGAATCCCCAAAACCCGCAAAGCAGCTCCTTTTCCCAACTCCGAGAGGCTTCGGCATGGAAGAGGTTGCCCTACTCCAGAGGTCTGTTCAAGATGAGGCGGCGGCGAGTCGGGTTTACCTGGACCCTCAAAGGCTTACGTGTTTGAGGATTTATAGAAAGAAGTTTGTAAAAAGGAACCTGAACCGCGCAAGTTATTTAGGGTTCAGGTAGGGTCTCGGGACGTTTGGTAGAGGTTTAAGGGGCTTCATAATGCGTCTATGGATAGTCTGACTTACCATAAAGAACTTGCTGCGGAACAAGTGGTGCAAGACTATTCCTTACGGCCCCTATCGCAACTATGAGATTTCGCACTTCCACGTGGCCTGAGCGAGCATCGCTGTTAGTCTGCAACTTTCCCTGGCATGTGTGCGCTTCAAAAACACTAACAACAAAGCAAACAAGGCCGTTAAACATAAGCCGGAGTTCTGTGATACGGTTTCGCAAAACCCCAAACCCATAAGCCCCATAAACCCTAAACCCAAACCGGATGCCCTAAACCCGGATCCCTAAACCCCAAAACCATAAACCCTTTTGAAGTCCCGGCTGGGGCTGTGAGGCTCCGAACTCTGATGGTCAACGGCTTCAGAATGCAGTTCCCGAGCTCCATTCTGCTTTCAAGCACGGGGTTAGAGGGTGTGGGATTTAGGGCTTCGAATTAAGGGTTTGTAGGGTTTGCATATGACAGGGTTTGTCGGGCGTATATAGGGATTGTAGGGTTGATATAAGGTTTATGCAGGGTTTATAAGGCTTATGGGGCTCTTAGGGTTTATACGGTTTAGGACCAGGGGTCTAGGATGGGGTTTAGGGTTCAGAGTCTGGGGTTTGGAATTTAGGGTTTAGGTGTTAGGGTAGGCTTTTTGGAAATAAGGTTTCAGTTATTATCCTGCTCACAAGTCTCAGTGAGGGTCCAAGCAATTGCTAAACAAGCATGTTAAGGCCCTCATACTGCAGAAGGTGCTTCACTCGATAGTGTTCATTTAACATGCACCCTTTAGGAGAGGGTTTAAAGATCTGGGTTCCTCCAGCCCCGCCTACACTCTACCCTCGGCTCGTGTATTCTCTTGGGCTCGCCTTGAAGGTTTCGGGACTTCAACTGAAGTCTTCACGAGCAAGGTTCAGGGCCGACTCGGGGATCCTTGTTATAATTATGGTTTAGGGTTTAGGGTTTAGGGTTCACGAGTATAACGGGCCCCCAAACCCTTATCTAATTATTAAGTTAGGCCCCTACAGCCGATTGAGGGATTATTTGTGGCTTGGGGGTTGCTGGAAGGATGTTTGGTTCAGTGGGTTTCCTGCCCAAGGTTGTGGAAGACAAGGGACAGCGGCTCATCTGTTCTTGCAACTGCGCCAGAGATCACGTCCCTAGGCTTTTCGGTGGTATGGTGTTTGGCCTCATTGGTTTGGATTGCACATATTATAATGTATAGTTAAGCTTAACCAATACGTCCTTTCCTTGGGCGGTTCACTGAAGAAAGACCCAGGTCTTCTACAACTCCTCCAACACCCGGCACGTGGGCAAATATCAAATGGCACTGACGCCGGGCCGTTTTTTTGAAACAGGTTGTTTTCTATGTTCTTGAGACCGGACGAGCTGAGCAACATTTTCATTTCGTATGTTCATCTCAGGATGGACCAGAACGACGCATACCGCGTTGGGGATTTGCTGTGGCACAGAGGTGGGAAGTCGTCCAAGCCCCCGGCCCGGTATAGGCGCTAGAAAACCAACCCAAATCCCAAGAGGCGTCATGAACAAATGCTTCTTTCAATTTCAGGGCTTAATTAATTACAGCCTAAACCCTCAGCTCTGAAGCCCCGAACTCTAAACCCAAAGCTCCTCGTGAGGTTTTGTAGGTCTTTCGGGTGATTGCTGAAGGTTCTCCGAAGCACGCGCGCTGGAGAGCAGATTCGCCTCTTTGGCGGCTGATTGAAGGGTTACAGCTGAAGGATACCTAAACCCCCAAAAGTAAGCAAAATAATGGCTCAATACCCATAAAAGGCTATTATTCTACATATTTTTTGGGGTCCAGGTACTTTCCCTTGGGGTTCCCTGCAGTAGTACGTGATACTGCAGTCTACCCCCAAAACATTGTTATCATTGTCTGTTTGGGGGTTTGGGGTAGAGCTTATTTGGCATATAGTGTTCGTGCCGGCCCTATGCCGAATCGTCATTCCCGTACGTGCTTAGACCTTGTCACCCCGAGCCCGAAACACCCATGGCAGCTTTGCACAGCCGTACATACAAGTAGGCCCCAAAGTAGTTTCTTTTTGGGAGTACCTTATAGGATTCTATATACGAACCCCAAAGAGGATCTTCCTTGGGGCCTTAGGGTAATCCTAACTCAGAAGTTTGGTTGCTTTCCCGAAGCCTCAAGTTGGCTCCGACATCCCCAAAAGCCGTGCACACCCAGACCTTCCAAAATCTCTTAATTAAGGAATATATAGCTTAAATCATATTAAGGATCCTACTATAATTTACGGTATATTCCTCAATTAATGGGTTTTGGAAGGTCTGGGCAAGGATAGCCATACTTTGCAACTCGGCGTTCCGGGGCACCTTGATGCGCGAGATGCTGCGAAGCCCCTTGGCTGTTCAGCGCCTGACTTTCATTAACTTGCATACCTAAACAAACAAAAGTAGGTAAAATAATGGCTCAATACCGTCAAAACCCATCAAAGGCTGTTATTCTACATAAATCTGGGGTCCAGGTACATGTTTCTGGTTTTGGAAAGTTCGCATCGCATCTCCTCATATATTCTGATAGCTGAAGTGGAGAGCACTGCGTAACTACCAAGGGCTCCAGGTCCAAAAAGAGTCCCTACTTGGACCCCACAAGTACGTAGAATAATAGCCTGCTACATTGATTGGGCCACTATTCTACCTACTTTTGCGGGTTTAGGTACCTGTCCCACCTGACGCTTTTGCAGTGGAAATCGTGAACCTTGACAGCTGAAGGCCCTAAATGCCAGAAGCTCGAACCCCCGCGTCAGGTGCTGTCCTTGTCGATAACCACGCCATTGCACCTAGTGTGAGCGATCAGGACAGGTGAGTCTCAGCACAGGGGGTCAGGATTTTCGTTCTTTGCGCTACCCGTAGGGGCAGTTGGATTCATGTTATCTCTAATTACTCATCAAAAATTGTAGCTCGAGCCGGAATTGCAGCAACTTGTTTTTCAAGAATATAGGGAAAGTAACCAGACAAGGTGCTAGAATCCAGGGTCAAGCTTGCGACGAAGTACTTGCACCTGTGGATTGAAATGTGCTGCTCGGTTTTGGATTTTCTAGAGGGGCGTTAGATTTGCATCTTGCGCTTACCTTTAGCTACACACACACACACACATGTGCGTACCAAGCCCTATGTCCGTAAACCATAGGCTGCATATAAAATCATATAAGCCCTAGACCCGCATAATGAACCATGTAGCTAAACCCCCAAAAGTAGGTGACATAATAGCCCAATACCTATAGAAGGCTATTATTCTACATACTTTTGGGGGCCTCTGGGTCATTCCCTTGCCAACAAATGGCAGGATCTGGAGAGCATGCTCAGTTCACGAGGCGAGGGCCGCGTGGGCTACGCGTACGCATCGGGCGAGACGGGTCCCAACAACCTGACCTTGCCAAGTGACCTGACCTCTATAAGGATTCTTCCAAAGTTTACATAAGGGTTCTGTCAGGGTTTCGGGGTTAGGGAATCAGGGTTTTATGCCTGCAGTGTTTAGGATATCCTGGACATAGCTGACCTTGCAATCTCAGCGTGACCTTCCGCCAAAGTCAGGGCTTTCGGTTCAAACTCAGGATTATGGCGTTTACCAACTCTCCTTGGAAAATCTTCATTCCTTTTGCTATGACTCCTTGCTTCTGCCTAATGCAATCTCCGAAGTCTATATGTTCTGCTTGCCTTCTTTCAGAGGAGCAGAGTGGCTTGTCTCAACTGTATACCTATACAATGAATGGCCGGACAACAATTTTTCTGGCCACATGGCCGACATCAGTTTCGAACCCTATACCCCTAAACTCTGAAGACCCCCCTAACCCTCACAGCAAAGGAGCTAGAAGAGCAAAGGAAACCCTCGGACCCCAAACTCGACACCGTTTCAGGCACAGCCGAAGCTTGGGCTGGGCTGAGTCATGTTGTCGGCCTTCGATGCTCGGCTCAGACGCGTTTCATTTCGAGAGACTTTCTGGACAACTTTTGCATTTCGTGTGAATGAAGGTCTTAATTGTTGTTCAATGGAAGTCTCTTTCCAGAATGGTTTGGATGTTTGTTTTAATAAGCGTCTTTATTGGCTTTTATGAGAGTCTATAGGGCCTTGCTTAAAGGGGCTTTCCATTTGCCACTGCCGGATTGTCAAATGGGATTTTGGTTGCGTTCTGGGACAGGGTAGCCCTAAAGCCCTAAACCCCTAAACCCTAAACCCCTAAACCCCTAAACCCTAAACCCCTAAACCCTAAACCCCTAAACCCCTACACCCTAAACCCCGAAACCCCTAAACCCCTAAACCCCTGAACCCGAAACCCCTAAGCTCACTTGTATGCTCTGCTAGGAGGAGACTTGCGAGGCTCGGGGGTCTCAAGGAACGAAGTTAGCAATCGTAACATGCCTTATCTAGTGGTTACATAGATAGCTAATTTGATCAAATAACCTCTTCCTAAGAAGAAATTAAGGAATATGCCCTACAAAATTCTGTGGGGCCTGATACTATGATTTAAGCTATATACAACTTAATTAAACCGTGTTGACTGTCCACCTGCAGAGGCTACAGATCCCTGGGTCCGAGCCCTGACGATGTTCTGCTAGTGCCACTGCGCTTGGGCGATGAGCCGCGATGGCGGCTGCAGGACGTCGAAGAGTCGCTGACGCTTGGCCGCGGCCGCGGAGGTTTAGGTGTAAAGTCCGGTCACAAAACCCCCGGCGCAAATTTTTGAAAGCAGAATCTCCAGGATTTGGGGACCCTGTACTACTTGGTAATTACTTCATGGGAGACCACTTGACGGATCTACTTCCTGGGTTGTCTCCGGGTCTGGTAGGGATCCGGCCTCAGAAGCTCAGGTTGTGGCTGAGGCTATGAGGCTTTATGGTGGTTTAGGGCTTATAGAGTTTATAGGGGATCAGGGAATTGGGCGGCTTAAGTTCAGGCTTTGGGTTTCGGGGTTTAGGTTTAGGCTTCTGTGAAAACAAGCTGAAGAAGTCTCTTGCGTCGATGTACCTATGAGGTGTATAATTACTCAGGACTTAAAGGGCTTGCTAGATGATGATTCTCGGGGTCAAAGTTTGGACTATGTGGTTTCGGGCCACTTCTGTGGTTGGCTGTTCTATAATTCTATAACCCTTGATTTATGCACGGTATCGGGGAAATGATCCAGCTAAACGAATTTGTGGAGCGGTATCCTATTTACCGTTGGATTCGAGGGTCTGCTTCTTGAGTTGAATAATGGGAAAGAGGATACTCTGATTCTAAAACCATTGCCCGGCACCCAGAAAATGTCCAGGGTACTATCTTGAGCCTCTTGTGGTTATCTTCACAGGCTTGAGCTTTGGAAATATGCGGCGGCTCTATCTGCCTGCTACCGAAGCTATTTACAGATTCCTAGTGTACACCCCAACATCCCCGGAGCCACATCCCAAAGTCCCAGGAAGCTGTTTTTGACTCCCGGGCGGAGAGTTGAACGAGCCGAAGTCTCAGGTGGGCAATCGCCGAGGTAGTTACCAGGCCATACAGTCCCACTACAGTGAGATCGTCAGATCCACCAATAAAAACCTCTTTGAGCATTTACGGTAAGGCCCTTGCATGTCTATACAGTGTGTACATGTATGTATATGCCTGCACGTATGTGTGTGTGTATATATATATATGTACGCGTAGTGTTTTATTTGAGGGCACGAGAAAGAGAGAGAGAGAGAGAGAGAGAGAGAGAGAGAGAGAGCGACGGAGACGGACAGAGAGAGCGAGTCAGTCAGTCAATCAGAGATAGAGAACCCCGGAAGAAGCCTGATAAACCTACTGAACATCCTTGTTCTGCGTATTCAGACACTTACATTAGACCTCTAGGTATGCACAGGATGTAGATCGTGAAATCCACGGCTTCAGGTTTCAGAGTTCAAGTAAGAGGAGTGTGATGAAGGAATCATATCAGTCCTTAATCCTCATCTTAGGGTTAGGAACTAGTCATGACTGTCGTTCCCCAAGATTCCGCAATCTAGTTACAAAAACTCACCCAAAACCCTTGTCTAGTGAAAGCTATTTAGGCCCTTTACTACACTGGCACAGCCGAAACCCTCACCCTAAACAGGTGCTCTGCACTATCCGGCGACCTCGGAAGTTGCAGCCAGATACTACAACGACACGTCTTTGCCTCTGGGACGATCCAAAGCCCCAAGGGTGCCCGTTCCATATAGGTACTTCTATGAATATGTATATGTAGTCTCACATGTATATATATATATATAACTGTTTATGTATGTATGCATGCATGTTTGTTTGTACTTCATTTGCATTGCCCACGCACTGTTTACATGTGTATATATACATACACATACACATATGTGCGTCTGTATGCGCTATCAGTAGGTATGGACTTTGTATACGTTTTTTCATTGGCCTTGGTGGGCTTATTATCGAACCCTGACTATATGTTTTGGTCACTGCACTGTGAACGATTGAAACGAGGGCCCCACATCAGGATTGGTGGAGCGTCGGTGTCCGGTGAGTAGTAGTATGAACAGTACGTGTACATGTGAAACTATGCATATACATATATATGTAGAAGTATGCATAGCATGTACATCAACTCATACACACACAAGCACATACATGCCTATGCATAGGCATATATGTATACATATATACACCTACACATGCATTTGCAAATGTATGTATATTTATAAATGTACATATCTCCCACTGTTGGAAGAGACTGTTCTTCCCGCGACTGCTTAGGAGGTCCAACGAGCAAAGACTGGAGCAGGCGGGCCGTTTCCTTGAGGATCTGAAAATGTAGGGTTTAGGGTTCAGGGGTTGAGGGCTTCAGGGTTGAGGTTGAGGGGTTGAGGGGGTTATGAGTGTAGATTTTAGGGCTTCATGTGGGATCTCAGAACCGACATTGCTGCTCTTAGGATGGTCCGTGACTGTACGAGTCGAAGGCCCGTATCCGGGAACGAATGAAAGGGTTCTATAAGGTGTTCATGTTGCTTTCGCGGCTTGATTCCATTTACTGTTAACTTCAAGTTTTTCTGAAGGTCTTACAACGATGTTCAGGGTGCTGGTTTTAGTTTTGGGGTAGGGAACCGCCAATCAAGAGTTTTTTGAATCAGGGTATAGGGTTGTAGGATTAGGGTTTTAGGGTTTAGGGTTTAGAGAAGAGTGGGCACATCATGGGAGAAGTACCATTGCTGGAGATGGTACATGGATACGGTTCCAACCTTCTGAGGTCTAGAAAGCCTTTTCATGTCTATCCACTGCACAGCAAAGACGTTACCAAACCCTTGGAATGTTTGACTTGTTTGGTCATCCCGCAACACTGAAAAGCACAGTGCCAGACATGTTTGAAGGGCTTAGGGTTTGCGGGTTTAAGGTTTTAGGGGGTTAGGGTCTTCACTCCCAGAGTGCAGGTGGTCCAGAAGCTGAAGCAACATCAGCTTCAGGCGCGCTTTTGGAGTTTACGATTTGGGGATCGATGTGGCAGTGTTTAGGTTCAGGTTTCGCGATTTAGGGTTTAGGGTGGTTGTGTTTTTGTTGCTGTTTGGTGCCGCCGGGGTGGAGATAACAGGCTTTTGGCTTCAAGGGTTCTTGGTTTAGGGTGTTGGGGTTCACCTCTGCATGTATGTTCATTCCTGTTATGCATACGAAGCTCACGCTTCATCCTTAAAATGTAGTGTATGTACGTGAGTCACCAAATTGTGAAGGAACACCTAGCGCAGTCCATGTGCCACGTCCCCTGTAGCCATTCCAAGATCACCCGCATGCATCTATGCTTCCATCCATCCATTCATCCATCCAGCCATCCATCCCTCCGTCCATCCATCCGTCCATCCATCCATCCTTCCATCGGAAACATCCAGACGTCTGGCCAGAAATGCAGCCCTACACACATGCAGACATACATACTTGCATGCATGCATGCATGCATGGATACATACGTACGCTTACATATTGCATTTATATATATATATATACATACACACATACACACACACACACTTTTTGTCTAGTTTTTCATACGCATATTCATGGGTATGCACATACGCAAAGACTATACTTACTTACATACATTAAATATAGTACCTGGGCTACGTACCTTGGATCCAATACATGCAGCACATGCATGAGTTGCATCCAACAGTAGCCTCAGTAGACTAAACCCTAAACCCTAAACCTTAAACCCTATAGACCCCAAGCACTAGACCTCTAAACCCTACAACAAGCCCAAAAGCCAATCTGCATACAGTGCACAGATCTTCGATGCAGGTGACCCTGCGGTCCGAGCCAAACGCGGACGAAGACCTGCTGCACATTCTCCGAAGCAGGCGGAGCACGGCACCATAAACCCCTGGGTTCATGGCTTAGGGGCTGAAGTTCAGGGGTTTCGGTTCGTGTTTGAAGAACTATAAGGAGCCTTATATACTTAGATATTTGTTACTTGGGTATGCCGAGGGTGTTTGCTGTGTTTCGGGGTTTGCGGCCGATCAGGCTTGGTTTCGGTTTGCACCTCGGAAGCGTCGCATTCCGTCAGGACTTCCTTTTGTCTTGGATTAAGTGACTCCGTGAACGGGGTGTTGCCAGGTATGTCTTGCCGATCACAAATGGTGGGGGCTTGCAAGACGTGGCGCTAAAGCTGCGGCAGCTGCTGCGCGGACCAAGGTTTCTTTCTTTCTTGGGCATGGAAGGATGCTGGGAGAAGAAAGAAAACGGTTTAGGGTCGTTTAGGCATGACGTCCGTTGGTCTTTAAGGGTTCTGTTCGTTTCAAACATGGGTAGAAATTTGGTGGTGGCGGTGGTGGTGGTGGTGGTGGTGGTGGTGGTGGTGGTGGTGGTGGTGGTGGTGGTGGTGGTGGTGATGGTAGCCGTTGCTAGGAGTTGTGATACTGGTGATGATGGTTAGTCGCGGTCATTGCCGTTGTAGATATAATGACAAGGATACTGGTAGTGCGAGTGGTAGCGGTAGTGGTACAGCCAGTGGTAGTGATACTGGTGGCAGTTGTAATAGCAGTGGCGGTCGCGGTGGCGGTTCAGTCGCAGCCGCCGCAACAGCAGCAGCAGCAGCAGCAGCCATGCAAACCCCACAGATGTTAAGCCTTGGAACACCCAGCCTCACAGGATCCGGCCAAGACGACTTGATCCCATTTGTCCGCAAGATCTTGAAGAGTGTCAACGCCATGGCCTTGGATGCACCCGTGGAACACAGCACCTTGACAGTCCAGCACGCCAAATGCTGAGCCCTTTTTTTTTGCAACACCCCAAACCCAATCGCTAAATCCTGAAATCCCAAAGCTCCACAACCCTGAAATCCTAAGCCGTAGAAATCTTTAATTTCCTTTGGCAACTTGGCAAAAACAAGGTACTGCTGTGACCTTCCAGGGTGGCCAGCAGCTCTTCAATGCATTCCGGGCCGGCCACCGGCAAGCTTTCGGACTGGAGCTCTTGCAGATGCCGCCAAACCTCATCGTCCAGCAGGAATACCCTCTACTGACTGGACGGCAGGAGAGAAGGGGTCAAGCCTTAAATCGCCCTAAAGTTTAAACCCTCATGAAGACGCTGAACCTTCGAAAGCCCTGCACTCTACACCTCAAAAGTCTTCTTAAACCCTGAACCACTATAAACCCAAAGGTGTCGAGGGAGCATGACGTCGAGCTCCTGTTTCGTTGGCTGGGCGATGGCGATGTGACCAAGCGGGCAGTCATCAAGTTGGATGGCGATACTGGCGTGGAGGCACAACACCTGAAGTAGAGAAGTATGCGATAGGGATTTTTCGTGTTTATATATTGAGGGTATATCTCGGAGCTTAAATTATCGGGAGACAAACCTACAGCACGGCAAGGATCTAATGAAAAGCTGAACCCAATGATTTCAAGATCCAGTGGTAGCCCATAGTGGTTTTGTCAGAGGGGCTACCAGTTTCTGATCCCGGGGTCTCGTATAAATCCCCCGTCCACTGTGATCTGGTCTGGCGAAATGCTACACCTTAAACCCTAATCAGCCGGGAACTGACATGTTGAATCTAAAGCAGACCTAGTTTTACCAGTTTTGGGTTGTCGGTAGGGGTTCACGGTGTCTTCAGCCGCAAAATCAACTGAACAGGACCGACAGCTGCAGCACCAACTCCGGACAATTCAGGAGCTGGGAACCCCCGCTCCTTGGGAATGATTGGAGTTCAGGGTCTTATAGTATAGGGTTTAGGGTTTAGGGTTTAGGGTTTATAGGAGAATCAGCTCGGGATGCAGGGTGGAGAGAAAACCTCCGGTTACCGCTCCGTGGATTATGGAATGAGAGGCTTGTTGGCGGCTTCTGGGGCAAAAGTTTCAGATATTTGTGCAGGATCCGGACCCGCAGACGAATCGTTCTGTCTATCTGCCCGTATGTACGCTTGCACATCCATTTTGGCATGTAGGCATGGATGTCATGTAGTCTAGTCCAAGATATTGCAGTGCGATGTCTTGAGATATGATCTGTTGTAGTGTCTTGCAATGCAATCGACGTAATGCATCACCATGTAATTCTGCAACGACTCCTATACCTGATAACATCCTAAGACTTATAAGAGTTAGCTTAAGCTGGCTTAAGGGTCCGGGGCTTAGGCCGGAGAGTCGAGGGCTTTTAGGGTTTAGGGGTTTTGGGGGTTTTAGGGTTTAGGGTTTAGGTTTTAGGGTTTTTAGGGTTTCTCGGGTTTAGGGTCAAAGTTTAGGGGTTTTAGGGTTTAGCGGTTTTAGGGTTTAGGGGTTTTAGGGTTGAGGGTCTAGGGCCAGGGATGGCCGGAAGTGCTATCTGAGGGTAACCAGGTGCAGGATTCCGGATCTGGGTTTTCGTTGCCTGAAAGATTCAGGGTCTAAGGTTTTGCGGGGTTTTGGATGTTGGCCTTAGGGTTTCGGATTTCGGATTAATCATAATCATCATCACCATCACCATCGCCCTTGATACTGTCATCACCATCTTCTTCTTCTTAACCAAGAAGGAAGCCCTGCAATTACGAAAACCTCCAGCTAAGCCTGCAACCTCAAGGGTACTTTGATTTTTTGATTTTCGGTTATTATAATCTCTAAGAAACAGCTAAAATTAATTTTTTTGCTAGGGTTCTAAGATCAGTATAGAAACCTGTACGGCCTCCAACCCGGACCATGGCCACCTGCAACCCGAGCTTGAGCCCCCCCACCCGGTCCCTCGGTTTAGTTGAAGACTAGGCTAACCCTAGACTTAATGGCTGAGGGTGTTTTGGGATAGTGATATCCCCTATAGAACTGAAAGTTTACACTTCTGAAAGCCTATAGGCCCCCTCATTCAGAACACAACAGTGCCATCTATATATCCAGACAAGCCCTTAAAGCCCACATGGTACAAGGACAGGGGCCCTCGGGGGGTCAATGGCTTCATCAGCTTTCGAATCGTTCGAACACACATCCGCATTAAGGCTCACGGCATGGTTTTCGCAAATCTGCAGCTATCGCACACCTATACCCTACACCATAAACCCTGCAGCCTAAACCACGAAGCTCTCGATGGACTGGGGTTCTCGCCATGATCCCAGGTAAAGCTTTCTTTACGTGTGAAAGCAAGCATCAAAGAAGGGCCGCCCGAGTGGTCGAAGCTCCCAACACCCAGCACTGCCCAGCAAAGCGTTTAAATCCGCGCTTCCATTCCAATACCTAGGTGACCTAGATCGTAAAAAGGTGAGGGTTTAGGGTTTATAGGTTGGATATTGTCGGCATGTCGATTGACGTGGAAGTGGGACTGATCAGTGGCAGGAAAGCCACTGTGCAAGCAGCGTTGGATGAGACAGTTGGAGCGTTGAAACGACGGGCACAGGTTGCACTCGGGGTCGGGACAGGGCGCCTCCTGGACTCATCTGGATGCGTCCTGGAAGGATGTGCGCTGATCAAGAAAGCTAGGGTGCAGACTGGCGACTCCCTGACCTTATTGCGCAGCAACACTGTTCAAGTTCAAGCCTCTAGCGCAGCTTTTGCTGCCATTCTGAACGACGGAGTGGTCGTGACCCGGGGTTTTCGTAGCTATGGTGGTGACAGTCGGGCTGTGCAGGGTCGGCTCAAGCATGCGCAGCAGATCCAGGCGTCTCATCGCGCTTTTGCTGCCATTCTCGACAACGGATCCGTCGTGACTTGGGGTCATGATGACTATGGTGCCGAGAGCAGTGCTGTGCAGCCTCAACTGAAGAATGTGCAGCGGATTCAAGCAGCTGACGACGCTTTCGCTGCCATTCTTGCCGACGGATCCGTCGTGACCTGGGGAAGTGCTGCTAATGGTGGTGACAGTAGCGCTGTGCAGTCTCGGCTGAAGAATGTCCAGCAGATAAGTGCCTGTCGTTGCGGCGCTTTTGCTGCCATTCTGGATGATGGATCGGTCGTGACCTGGGGTCGTGCCGAACTCGTTGCCGACAGCAGTACTGTGCAGACTCAGCTGAAGAATGTGCAGCAGATCCAAGCGTGTGCTTCTGCTTTTGCTGCCATTCTTGCCGACGGATCCGTCGTGACCTGGGGAAATGCTGCTTATGGTGGTGACAGTAGCGCTGTGCAGTCTCAACTGAAGCATGTGCAGCAGATCCAAGCTACTGGAAGTGCTTTTGCTGCCATTCTGGATGATGGATCGGTTGTGACCTGGGGAAATGCTGCTAATGGTGGTGACAGTGGTGCTGTCCAGGATCAGCTGAAGAATGTGCAGCAGATCCAAGCTGCTGGAAGTGCTTTTGCTGCCATTCTGGATGATGGATCGGTCGTGACCTGGGGACGTGCTGAATTCGGTGCCGACAGCAGTACTGTGCAGACTCAGCTGAAGAATGTGCAGCAGATCCAAGCGTGTGCTTCTGCTTTTGCTGCCATTCTTGCCGATAGATCCGTGGTGACCTGGGGAAATGCTGCTAATGGTGGTGACAGTGGTGCTGTCCAGGATCAGCTGAAGAATGTGCAGCAGATCCAAGCTACTGGAAGTGCTTTTGCTGCCATTCTGGATGATGGATCGGTTGTGACCTGGGGAAGTGCTGCTAATGGTGGTGACAGTAGCGCTGTGCAGTCTCAGCTGAAGAATGTCCAGCAGATAAGTGCCTGTCTGGGCGCCTTTGCTGCCATACTCGATGACGGATCTGTCGTGACATGGGGTTGACATTAATGGTGGTGACAGTACTGACAGTACTTCTGGTTGGGAGCAGCTCCGGAATAGACAGCAACTGTGCCGTAAGTGCACGGAGCAGTGCACGGGTTTTGCACAAGCTATCGAAGACACGGCCTTGAAGCGCGGAATCCTTCATACCTCGATCATAAAACAGTGCGAACCACTTGCACATGCATGCTTCCTGAGATCCCACTGGCTTAAGAGACATGGCTTTTGTTTACAATGCTCGCAGGACAATTCCCGAAGAGAACCCTTGCTATTCTGGCTGGACGGAAGACACAAGATTTCTTGGTGGTCCGGCACAAGGGCTAAGCTCGCGTAGAGCCCTAGAACATATCGTAACTTCATGCAAGGCCTGGCACACCTACGGTATTGCAGTCCTTAGCCTCTGGAATTTGAACAGCTATATGGCTTAAAGTGCAGTAAAGCTCGAAATTTGAGTTGCTTCTACCTTCTGAACTCGGCAGCCAAGAATCAGGTTTTGCAAGCGAGCCTTCGGGAGTTGCAGAGTTGTCCTGCGCTGGTGAAGAAGACGCTGGAATTCCTAGCAGCTCGGTCTTGTCCAGCGTGTGAGCTTCGAGTTTAACATTTGAGTGTTCAGGATTCGGGGTTGGGGACAGGCTTAAGAGGTCGGTTGGGAATCGGATAGCTGCGAAACCTCTGGCTGATGAAAGACATGGACAGCGACGTTCATCCATCCAGCCCTGCATGCATGCGCACATACATACATGCATGTCACAAACACACACACATCTACATACATACATACATACATACATACATGCATACATATATATATATATGTGTATACATATATATATATATATATATATACAGTATGGTACACACATGGATGTGCCCTTGTAGGCTAGGATTTGGATAAGCATGACGGATATGTAACTGAAGCTTGAGGGTCGGCTTGAGGATGTGGGCTCAGCAGCTCCGGAAGCGTCCTAAGTGCCCCCCCAATCAATGTACCTAAAGGTAACTCCAGAAAGTTGGAATATGGTTTCAGGGTAGGATACCTTATAATTTACCATAGAAGGGTAAGGATAATCATATTCCAACTTTCTGGCTTTTACCTTATAGAGGGACTACATTAAGGCCAATGTATATACTATATGAGTACATGGACCCTTTAGGGTCAGGGATGCCAGAACCCCACTTCCAGCCAAGATCTCGGGTATAGAACTTACCCAGCGGAGGCCGAACCCCAAAACGTCCGTATGTCGCGAGCTCTCTTCGGTGTTGGCGTTCGCACCTGCTTGTAAGAGCCTTACCGTCATTGGGACCCTCAAACTGAGTACTAAGTCAGGACTTCCGTCATCCCGACGAGATTTGATCCTTTCAGGATCCTGAAATCCAGTCCCAGCGGCCTCCCCCTTGGGCTTATGGCTTACCTGAATTAACCTGGAATAACCTACCTTTGTCAGGACTTTTTTAAGGAAATCATCATAAGGAACCTTAAAAAGGTAGGTTATTCAGGGTTAACGTAGGGTTTAGGGGTTCGCCTTTGGCGCAGGCAGTTTCTCTATCGGAGGGGATTTAAGGGTTCACCTTCGTCGCAGGCATTTTTTCTTCTTCCCTCAGAGCGGGACACTGACACGGAGATG